CAAAACAGTTTGTCACATGAGCAAATAATTCAATGCTCATTTTTAAAATGAGCAAACAATTCAATGCTCATTTGTCAAATGAGAAAAAAATTATTTGCCCATTTGTCAAATGAGCAAACAGCTTTTATTAGAACATACAGAGAATTCATGAAACATAAGAGAATTTGAAACATAAGAGAATTCATGAAACAATTCAATGCTCATTTGGCAAATGAGCAAAAAATTATTTGCTCATTTGTCAAATGAGCAAACAACTTTTATTAGAACATACATAGAATTCATGAAACATAAGAGAATTTTAAAGTGTTACCTTAGAATTATTCACAAATATGTTTTTGTGTGAAATGTTTATTTTCCTTCCATCTTTTTGGAATAGATTGCAGCTAGGTGTATAAAGTGCACGAGTATGTCCCTCATGAAATTTTGTCACTATGAATGTGTTATCATCACAATGCTTTAGGACAATATGTGCCTTGCACCCAACACGAGTAACGAGTCTCTTCCTTTTGATTGAAGATTTTTCTTCATTGTTTTCCCCTTCCTTGTTATTTAAATCTTTTTCTACAGTAGTCTTTCTTTTTTCTTTGTATCCTTCCTTATTGCACAAGATATACTGATATTTTAATTCTTTGCTTCTTCTTTGTCTTTTAGTTGTAGACTTCCTTGTATTGAAACCAGAAGCAAATGCATAGCCTTTATAAAATTCAAGGCCCTCTTCAAGATTATTAAACTTCATCCCTATAGCTGGTTTCAACTCATTGGGGCATATTGGATGCAATTCTTTTGTTCCTCCGGGAGTGATCAAAGGTGCTACTTTAGGAGAAACTACTATTGTAGGAGTAGTTGGCACATTTGTGATGGTACTTGATTGACTCTCAACTTGTTCGTTGTTGCTCATCATTTGTGAATATGCACCTCCTTAAACACACTTAAACACACACATACACTCTTAATAATTAGAACTGAAATCAGATTCTTAAACAAACTTACACACACACAGACATAGATACACACTTACACACACACACACATACACACACACACACACTCAATAATTTCATAATCTATAATTATAACTGAAATCAGTTTCTGAAATCAGAATTGCAAACAGAAAGAGGAGGGGGCAGGGGGGATAGGTTTGCTCATTTGTCAAATGAACATGCAATTCAATGCCCACATATATAAACTCTTACACTTAATCACACTTACACTCACACTCACACTCACACTCACACACAGACACAATGTTACACTCACTCACACACACACACACACACACACTCTCTCTCACACACACACACACATACATACACAATTATGTATACTTAGTGTTTTTACAAGCAATTATTTGCAAAACTTATAGATCCTTGAATTACTTATGAATGTCATTAATATTTGCTCATTTTAATTGTAGTTACCTCATTTTAAATGTTCTATTATCCATATTTAGGTTTGCTCATTTTAATTTATTTGCTCATTTTGAATTTGATTGAAAATAAGAACATAATAACAACAAAGTTCAATTTGCTCATTTTTATATGACTTTGCTCATTCCATATCCACTTTGCTCATTTCATATCCCCTTTGTTCTATTATACATATTTAGGTTTGCTCATTTTAATTTATTTGCTCATTTTGAATTTGATTGAAAATAAGAACATAAATAATTGATTCAATCACTATAAAGTTTAATATGATATTATTAAAATCTCTATCAAATTAATCAAACCTAAATAATTGATTCAATTCAATCAAATAATTGATGCAATTAAACATTCAATTCGATTAATGTAATTCGAAAATTAACATGTAATTCAATTCGAAAATTAACATGCAATTCCAAATTTTTCAGAGATGTAAAATCAAAATATATTGAATATTCAGGTTAACATGCAATTCAAAATTAAAATTACGAACAAACCTCAATGGTGGATGAAATTGCGACCGTTGAAATTTGCAAAAAGAAACCGTTGAAAATTGCAGAAAGAAACCGCTGAAATTTGCCGAAAGAAGAGCATACTCAGTGAATCGCCATTGATAAGTAAATCGCCATTGATGAGCTTTGAATTGCAGACAGAATAGAGGGGAGAGATATATTAGATGCTGAAAGTTAGCTTGTAGGCATGCTTATAATCTCAGCAGTTGGATTTCATCTAATCTAGCGGCTGAGATTTGTTCTCACATAAGGTGTGGGTTCTCACATAAAGGGTGGTTCTCACCGGATCCCGACCCTATATATATATATATATATATATATATATATATATATATTTAAAGGGGAGTTTTTTCCCGAATTTTTAGAGAGGCACGTAGGATTTAATTTTTTTAGCACGCCAGGTAAGATTATAAATTTAAGTGGTAGCCAATTAAATAAGAGATTATTAATTTCTTTTACAATTAAATAATTCAAATGCCACGTAAGTAAAATTGACGAATGAGATTTTAAAGTTTAAATTAATTAAATACAAAATATTATCTTTTGAGATTAGAAATTTTATCTAATATTTTAAAACTAATACAATAACAATTTTAATCACATAAATATGAAAAATATTATTTTTTAAAAAAAATACTAACAAACTGTGCATCGCACGGGATTCATCTAGTAATACTCCATAAATGTCGCCCTCGAATATCTAACTAACGCCCGCAAAATTAACTAAAATTACAAATTTACCCTTTTTAATCAAAAAAATACCCCCTCAATTTACCCCCATCTTCATATTACCCACCACTACCACCTCTTCATACTAACCACCACTACCACCACCTCCACCTCCTCTTTTAACCACCAACTCTTTACCTCCGGTTTCACGATCTACACAGTCGCGGTAATGACGAGTAAGGACAAAGGGTAGATATTAACACTTATTAACCCTACTGATCTAATAGATAAGGGTAGATATATAAGGGTAGATATTAACACTTATTTTAATTAAAGATTTAATATATAAGTTCAAATTTCAGATTGTACTTAAGATATAAAAAAAAAAAAAATTAAAAAAAAAACATATAAAAGCATTTTTCATATATTGGAATTGTGTCAAATTGTCAATACATCACCACTAAGGGCTTATTCACATTTACTTGATTTTTGTTCGTTCAGTTTAGCTCCAATCAGTTCAGTTCAGTTCAGCTCCTAATTTTCTTCTTTCATAAAATATTCATTTTAGCTTAGTTCAGTTCAATTCAGTTTAGTTCAGATCCAATTAGTTTAGTTTAGTTCAACTCTAATCAGTTCAGTTTAGTAAACGTGAACTGACCTTAAGGGTGCATTCTATTCACCTGATTTTTATTTATCTGAACTTATCTGATTTTATCTGAACTAATCTTAATTTATCTGAATTTATCTGATCTTATATGAACTTATTTGAACTTATAAGCCTCTATTAGATCTTATTTTAGTTATAAATTAAACTTGGGTAGCCGTGATTAACCCTTGTCACAACTTATCTGAACTTATCTTTACTTATTTTTCTTGAACTTATTAACCCTTATTAGAACTTATTAACCCTTATCTATTAACCCTTATATGAATTTATTAACGCTTATCTGAACTTATTAACACTGTTGTCAATGATCCACGGAAAGAGGAGACAGATGAAATAGAAGACGGTGTAAATTATGTCTGAAGTCACCTGCACATGTTGGTGTGGACATTGCTTCTGCTTATTGAAATCGAACAAGAGTGGTAGATTCAACTGCACTATAACTTTTAACTAGTGCTTGGTTAGTGATGTATATATTTTTTTCTTACACTGCTATAATATGTCATGTTTGGAAGGCAATTTTTTTTTGTTTGGCTATATATATGGCAAATTCTTCATTGATTTGCTTTACTTGGAAATGTAAAGCAAAAGGATGACGGTTTCTATACTCAGGGTTGTGCTTTTATAAAAGAACAGATATCATTATAGTTGCTTTACTTGGTGATGTAGAGCAATGGAGTGATGGTTTCTACAACTAAAGCACAGCTGTTTATAGGTTATGTGGTGCTTGAGATCCTTGCAAGCTAGGCTATTATATCGAGCCAATAAACTAGATTGGTATAATTAGCACCCTTTTGACACATTGGTAAATTAAATTTGTCGGAAGATTATGCAGGAAGGCGTGTTTCTCATTGAAGGAAACTGAAATCTGAAGTAATAGTACCCCTGTAATCTTATGATGCATGAAGGAAGCTTGAATTATCCTTGTTTCTTCATTTTCGTACCAAAGGAACACGCACCCTGCATTTTATAAACTTATAATTGATCTGCATCATTAAGAAGTTTGACACATTCTTCATTGGGTGTCGGGTGTCCAACTTAAATGTTAAAAACTCTGTTCTTTTCAGCTTATTTCAGTAATATTTCATTGGTAACCAAATGATCTCAATCTATCTGATCTGATATGGATTTTTAGGACTATTGAATTTTAGGAATGAATTACGTGTGAGGTTTATACTTCAGAAAACATTAATATCACAAGTATAAGCTACTAGCGGTCATCCATATACAATCCTAATAATTGGTTTTATCTAGTTCAGCCTATTAATTTGCATATGACAAATACCGTTTTGACATCAACAGTTTATCTAAATAATGAAACTAGTATCTTTTTCATGAACTGAATTTTGTTAGTACACCAAAAAAAAAACTTTCATATCTGACTGTTACGTATTGGAAACCTCTAAGATCCCATTACACTAACCATTTTTTTTTACCCCTTATTGTTTAAGGGTTTTGCAGGGCTCGCTATTTATTCTATGTGCTTTGTGTCCTCGAGATGTTTCAAACATTCGCGGGAAACTTTTTCCCTATGGAATTCAAGTTATAAGGCTAAAGCCTGACCTTTATGTTTCAAAAATGGTATGTTATAATTTTTGTGTAATTTGGGAGAGTAATCCCTACTACCCAAATTGAAACTTTGCATACACGTTAAAACAATATGTAAAGATACGTAGGTAATGTTGAAGATACTCGAACCTTTATAAATGAAATTTACTAAGAATAGAAAATATATTTGTGATAACACGTTACATAATCGAAATCTTAATTAAAAATTGTATCTCTGAGATCCTAAAAAAAGTATTTGTTTTGGTGAAAATACTAATCAACTAATGCCCTAAACCGTCTATCCTCTAAAGGTTGAACATGACCTTAATGGCTTTGCCACCCTTAGCACTAGTCTCAAAAGCCTTCACCACATCTTCTTGAGTGAATCCAAATCGGTGAGTAATCAAAGGTTTCACATCAATCTTCCCGGTGCTTATGAACTCTATACATTGTGGCCATGTATTCTTGTATCGGAATACACCCAACACATCTACTTCCCTGTGATACATGTGCAACAACATAACAAAATTAATATACTACCAATGTTTTCTTGTGAAAAAACTTGAAATCAATAACTTATAACTGATTTTTACCTTGATGCAGCAGGTGTAAGAGGAACTGTCATATTGCAATGACCCATTCCAATCAAACACACCTTACCACCATTACGAGTAGCACCGAAAGCAGTTGACACAGTTTTCTCAAAACCAGCACAATCCAAAGTTACATCTATATCTTTTCCCATTATTTTCTTCATCTCATCCACTTCTGCTGAGACAAACTGCAACAAAAACAAAATTTTACTTGTTATAGATATTTGTAGTGCGTTATTTTAGTAGTGTACGTAGGTAGTTTGTAAAGCAACACACCTCTTTAGTTGATGAAACTTTAACAACTCCATCAGCACCAAGACTCTTTGCAACAGAAAGACGGTGATCATCCACATCTGCTACTACTATTCTAGGAGCGCCAAAAGCACGAGCTGACAGCAATGTGACAAGGCCAATAGGTCCAGCACCAATGATCAAAACATTAGTCTCAGCACCAACATTAGCTCGGCGACAACCATACACACCAACACTTAATGGCTCACACATTGCCCCTTCCTCCAATGAGACATTTTCAGGCAGCTTGAAACATAAGTCTGCAGGATGCACAATCTACACATAACATCCATGTGAATTTCATACACCATGTTAGTGGACCTTATAATAAAATAATGAACAATTAACATTGTATTAATTAGATAGAAACCTGATCAGCAAGAGATCCATGAATGGGAGGGGTAGCAAAGAAGCGCATATCAGGGCAGAGATTGTAAGACCCTTCTTTGCACCGGTTACACTGCCAACACCCAATCCCGGGCTCAAGAGCTACTCGATCCCCCGGAACAAGTGAAGTAACCTCACTCCCGACTTCTTCAATGACTCCGGCACATTCATGACCGATCACCATAGGCTCTTTCACATGATAGTCACCACAGCTCATTGTCTAATCAAATTAACCATAATACAATGAAATTCATTAGCATTACAATTAATAATATGGAAATAAATTTTTGCAACTTATATCATATACTAGTATATCTATGTAATTATATACCTTTAAATAATGCACATCACTCCCACAAATCCCAACAGCCTTCATTCTTACTCTCACATCTTTAGGTCCTGTCACATACCAAAATTATATGTTACATTCAACATTATATTCCAAAAGAAATCAAGGAATAAATAAAATCATCTATAGAGATATAAATTATCACGTTACTAGTTCAAATTACACTATTAATGTAACGCTACATACAAATCTTAGCTTATACCAAGGGTTCGAGGTACAAGTAAATTACCGAGAGCAGGGAGCTTAAACGGAAGAATACGAAGATCATTAACTCCATATAACCAAGCAGCCTTGTTCTCTGAAACAGAAGCAACATCACTAGCACTTCCTCCTTTCCCCATTATCTTAAATTTCTCTCTTTTTCACGTTTGTCACACTAAATTAATCGAGTTAATAGCTTATTTTGTTGTGCCTTTTGATGTTGAGGGTGAAGGCTTTATATAGGGAAATTGTATACTAAAAGATAATTGTTTTTTTTAGTTTGGATTAATTTTAATTATATTATCTAATACTTATCCAATTATTCATGACAATAAACAGACTTGGATTATATGAACTATATGTTTTTCTCCATAAGATAAACGTATATGTTTTCAAGTTTTCTTATTGTTTCCCGTCAAAAAAAAAGTTTTCTTATTGAAGATGCAACTTTATCTTTTTTTTTTTTTTTTTCATCCTCAATCAGTTATCTACCGTGTTTGATTTTTCCTTTAAAATACATATATCTTTTTTTTTTTTATGAATAATTTTTTTTAAAAAAAAAATCTAGTCCACATAAATTTGGTTATCTTTTTATCCAATAATTAGATGATTTTCATAATGGATCCTGATATAATTAAAAATATATACTAGGGTCTTCGTTATTGTTGATCAAATACTACGTAATTTTAATATGCAATTATTATTCAAAATAATTACTGGATATAAAAAAGTTGGGTTTAATTCTCACCAAAAAAAAAATACTCCGTAAGAAGTACAACAATAAATAGGGTTTCTTGAAAAAAATACAAGGCTCTAATAACAAAAACGGAGTACTTTTTGTTTTTTTTTTAAAAAAAAAATTCTTACATAACAAATACTTTATAGGTACAATTTTTATTTTTGGTTTGCATTCTATTTACCCAATAGTGAGTAGCCCGAACGTTGCCCCGGGTTACTAATTTTGTAATCATGCAATTGAAGTTTTATTTTTTTTAAGGATTTTAAAATCTGAAATCGACAATCATGTGGTTTAATGTTATGTACATTTCTTTTTTATATATGTAACATACTTGATAATGAGTTAAAATGGTTAAATAACCAACTTTGTTATAAGTGGTTGGGTGTTAAAATAATCCCCTTAACTTTATATTTTTATATAAAGAAATGTGGGTTGCTTTGGTGATGATATGACAAAAAGAGACGTTGGATAAGTGGTGTGGCGTCATGAAATATTTATGAAGTGACGTGGCGTATTTAAAAGATGTTACGTGGAACATTGACGTTTTTTAGAGCTGCACTGCTCAGCTCAAATTAAATCTGCTCTGCTCTATTTTCAAATAATAATTTATAATAACAATATTAATAATTAATATTCAATAATAATAAATAATATTCAATAATAATAATTAATATTCAATAATAATAATTAATATTCAATAATAATAATTAATATTGTATTGATGATAATAATTTATTATTCTGAATAATTATAATTATAATAATTATTAATATTAAAATTTTTAATAATTATTAATATTAATAATAATTAATATTTATTAATCATAATAATAATTAATGATAATAATTATCAATAATAATATTTAATAATTTAAACTATTAAGAATTAATATTTAATAATATTATTTATTAATAATTTCTAATAATTATAACAATTCTTTCAAAATAAATATATAATAATAATAATATCAATTAATAACAATTTCTTTTATAAATATTTGATATTAGAATCATAATGTGTGGAAAAATTTTATGTGTGTATTGATGGTTAGTTCATTGAGTTGAATTATTTTTCAAATCTTTCCATACAATTTAGGAATTAAAATTAAAGAGGTTGTTTTCAAGTAGTACTTTGTATATAATTATTATTTTTAGTGTTAAAAATATATGATTAAGACAAATTTATCAATAAAAATATTATTACTCATTAAATCATTTTATTTTAAAATTTTTGTGAAATAAATATAAGTAAACCATTGTCTTTTTCCTTTCTATTAATAATAATAATAATAATAATAATAATAATAATAATGATAATAATAGTGATAATAATAATAATAATAATAATGTTGAAATATGCTTGACTCGGCTCTGCTATCCTGAAATCTGCTCTGCTCTGCTATCTTGAAATCTGCTCTGCTCTGCTATCCTGAAATATGCTCTGCTGAAATTTAATTTGTTCTGTTCTGCTAACCCCTGCTCTGCTCTGCCCTGCCCAGAAACTCAAAAGAACAGGACCTTATACAAATGTGATCAATACGTGATTTAACAAATTAAGGAATATTTTATAAGGTAATTCAACGTTTAGAGAGCGTTCAAGATACTTAAAAAATATGATTATTTATTGACAATTAAAAATAATCTTGATTACATTAAGAGGAGTTTAATCACTAAATTGAATCCAATAATTTGTTCACGAGTTCTCGTCAGCCGCCAACTCAACGACACAGAGGACAAAAGTTGTTCAACTTAAGCCACTTAACAATAAACCGTCATGAAAAGCATGTTTACACGGTAATAAACACACCAATTCTTTTGCTGCTTCTTCTTTTGTGTCTGGTTTCTTTTAAAACTTTTCTAGGCATATTGAACAAACATCATCAACATCAACCACTAACTCCTCAACTCTCACCCTCTTCAAATTGGCTACGACCGATTCATCGGTGGGTCGTTGTGCAAGTGTTGATACTCCAACGCGGTTGCGGAAGCCATTGACAATATCGGAAAATATATTATGAGCGATTACTAGGCCATCATCTGACAGCTGCCTATAGGCATCCATGGCTTCCCTAATGTTTTCGCCGGTAATATGTTCATTATTAGAGCGAGAAAGAATTTCAACAATTACATCAATATGGGGCCTATCTTGGCTTGACATGTTTTCTATTATGCTAATAATCTTCTTAAGATTTGTGAATTGATTTATGAAAACTAGTCTTGAAAGTCTATATATAATGATCACAGATCATATATGCATAGAATAGTATTGTTGGGAATACTGTATTTATATAAGAGTAGATAATTTTTAAGTCTGTTAACGTAAGTGCCAAGTTATTCGACTTAAAGTAGGTTTTATTTGCTTTTCATTACTTTTGGGCAGCATACTGTTCTAAGACTATATTATATTTTACCGTCTAAATTCATTGATTTATATAAATAACTAGATGAAGGCTAGCAATACACGGTTTATTTGAATTTTTAAAATATTTTTATTTTGTATTTATATGCTAAAATTTGTTACATATTTAGGTAAAATTCCTAATCTCAAAAGATAATATTTTTTATTTAATTAATTTAAACTTTAAAATCTCATTTGTCAATTTTGCTTACGTGACATTTGAGTTATTTAATTGTAAAAGAAATTAATAGTCTCGTATTTAATAAGCTACCATTAAAATTTATTATCCTACATGGCGCGCTAAGAAATATGAAATCTTACGTGGCTCTCTAAAAACTCAGGGAAAAATTCTCATATATATATACTCCCTCTGTCCCCAAAAGAACGACCCATTTGGGTTGATTTTGCGGGTATTAAGAAAGTTAAATAAAAAGAAGTAAAAATATATTGGAAAGATACATTTACATGGAGTTTGTAAAAAAGTAGAGAGAGAAAGTTTAAAAAGTACATAGAGAAACAAAATTTTATATGGGGAAGCTAATTTTGCACAAATATTATTGCAAATTGGTGGGGATTTTAATGCAAATGGGTCATTCTTTTTGGGACTAAAATTAGGCCAAATGGGTCGTTCTTTTTGGGACTAAAATTAGGCCAAATGGGTCGTTCTTTCGGGGACAGAGGTAGAATATATATATATATATATATATATATATATATATATATATATATATATATATATATATATATATATATATATATATATATATATATATAGGGATGCTCATATAAGAACCCTCCTCTATATAAGAATTCATCTCAACCCTTCAATGATTTTGATCTAACCATCTAAAATCCCCCTTTAGTAATGGTATTTTTGTAATTTTAATAACTCTTATTCAATCTTTAAATAAAAGAAAACCCTAAATCTCTCTCCTTAGCATTTTCTCTCTCCTCAACATTTTCTCTCTCCTCAACATTTTCTCTGTTCTCTCTCCTCTACCTCAAGGAACTTGGTAAGTTTATTTATTTTATTTTATTTTGCGTTTTTTTTTTGCCATTATAAGTTCAATTGTTTTTATATTTGGTTCGATTTTGTTGAATTTTTTTTTTTTTGGCGATTTAAAGTTTATTTTTTTGGTATTTTATTTTTTTCGATTTTTAATAATATATTTTTTTAATTTCCAGTTTTTTTTCGATTTTTTATTTTCTTATATAAGATTTTTCGATTCTTTTTTACGATTTTCCAGTTTTTTTTTTGTCGATTTTCCATTTTTTTCGATTTCTTATTTTCAATTTTTTTTACGATTTTTTTTTCGATTTTCCATTTTTTTATTCTATTTTTCAGTTTTTTCCAGTTTTTTTTTGTCGATTTCTTATTTTCAATTTTTTTTTATGATTTTTTTCTATTTTCCAGTTTTTTTTTTTTTTTGTTGATTTTCCATTTTTTTCAATTTCTTATTTTCAATTTTTTTTTCGATTTTCCGTTTTGTTATTTATATTTTCCAGTTTTTTTTTTTGTCCATTTTCCATTTTTTTTTATTTTTATTTTCAAGTTTTTTTTTTCGTTTTTTTTTCCAGTATTTTATTTTTGATTTCAATTTTTTAATTTTAATTCGTTTTTTTTTCCTCGTTTTTTCCCTAATTTTTTTCGCTTTTTTTTTAAGTTTCTAGTTTTCATTTTCAATTTTTTTTTCCAAATTTTTTTTTCTTGCTTGAGTTTTTCTATTGTTGGATTTTAATTTCAAATTGTTTTTTTTTACTATAATAGAAAACTTTAGAACATAATAGAAATACTTTAGAACATATAGATAGAAAATGTTAGAACATAATAGAAATACTTTTGAACATAAGGGGAAACTTTAGAACATAAGTAAAAAATATAATAAAACATAATAGAAAACTTTAGAACATATGGGAAAACTTTAGAACATAATAAAATACTTTAGAATATATGGGAAAATTTTAGAACATAATAGAAAACTGTAGAACATAATAAGGGAAAACTTTAGAACATAGTAGAAAACTTTATTACTTTCTTCTCCCCTTGTTTTTTATTACTTTCTTCTCCCCTTGTTTTTCTCTAATTGTCAAGGGTTGCTCTTTCTTTTTGCCTTTGTCATTCTCTTGCCTTTTTTCCGATCCCTTTTTAAATTTACATTATAAATTTTAGAATACATGCATACATATATTGTATAGAAAAATATAAAACGATAATAAACTTTAGAACATATATTACAAAATTTAGAACATATAGTATAAACTTTAGAACATAAGCATATACAAAAATCATACCACATTCAATTTCATTCTTTCTAGTACTTTTCCTTTTCCAAATCCAAGGTCTTTCTCAAACTTCAATCTTGTATGGAACCTTTCTTGGTTCCACAATGATATTAATGGAACTTGACGTGGTATCTCTAACCCCTTCCTTTGTACCCGATCAAAATAGGATACCTAAAAGAACATCATTAGAAATACTTTAGAACATTGATATGTAAAGTAGAACATAGATATATAATTTAGAACATCATTAGAACTTACCATAAGAAAGATTAAAGGACCCGTAAAGAAAGATTCTCCATCTAACCATTTTTTAGTAGTTTCCATCAAGTGCTCCTTAACAAATTTGCACCAATTCAATTTAACTATATTCTTTGTATCCTTGCAACTATACAAAAACTTAATGTATAGTTGCTTGTTATTAGTTGAACGGATGCAACTATTAACCGCACAAACCAAAAAATTCCAAATGAATTCATCCGAAACTTGTTTTTGTTCTTTATCTACCTCCTTCACCTTTTGAATCCTACTAATCAATTTTGCATTTGTTGGAGCACCCTGTAAGTAATTTAGAACATGGATAGGTAATTTAGAATATAATAAAAAATACTTTAGAACATAAGCAAAAATACTTTAGAACATAATCAGAATAACTTTAGAACATAATAGAAATACTTTAGAACATATAGATAGAAAATGTTAGAACATAATAGAAATACTTTTGAACATAAGGGGAAACTTTAGAACATAAGTAAAAAATATAATAAAACATAATAGAAAACTTTAGAACATATGGGAAAACTTTAGAACATAATAAAATACTTTAGAATATATGGGAAAACTTTAGAACATAATAGAAAACTTTAGAACATAATAAGGGAAAACTTTAGAACATAGTAGAAAACTTTAGAACATATGGGAAAACTTTAGAACATAAGGGAAAACTTTAGAACATAATAGAAAACTTTAGAACACAAGGGAATACTTTAGAACATAGTAGAAAACTTTAGAACATATGGGAAAACTTTAGAACATAATATAAATACTTTAGAACATAAGGGAAAACTTTAGAACATAAGGGGAAAAATATAATAGAACATAATAGAAATCTTTTGAACATAATAGCAAACTTTATGGAATAATAGAAATACTTTAGAACATAATAGAAAATCTTAGAATATAAAAGAAATACTTTAGAACATAAGGGAAAACTTTAGAACATAAGGGAAAAATAATACATAAACTTTAATTACCTTTTTCTTCTATAAGTAATTTTAGATTGGTTTTTTACTACAATTTGTATTTATGATAATTAGGTTTTGGCATATTCATGGATTTAGATGATGTTCGAGATAATTCTCCTTCTTCCGTTGTTACTCATTCAGGTAATTTTCATTGTTTTAATACTTTAATTTCAATTTACTTACATGTTCTAAACTTTACTTAGTTGTATATTTTAAAGTAATTTTGTAAATTTGTTGATTATGTTCAAAATTTGTTTAATATTAAAAAAAAATTCTAGTTATGTTCTAAAGTAATTCTTTATTTTCTAAATTTTTTCACTTTATTCTAAATTTTATTATGTATGTTATAAAGTAATTTACTATGTTCTAAAGTTTATTCTTAATGTTCTAAACTTTTTTCATTATGTTCTAAAGTTTTCTATGTATGTTTCTCTTTCTCTTTATGTTCTAATGCAGTTGGTGTTATTTATCGTACTCCTGAGGTTGTTGGATCGTTTAGCCCTGGTGGTACCACTAAGGAATGTGACTCGTGTAGGATGCAATGCTCACATATGTATGAGATATGGTGCAGGAAAGTATGTTGTTAGTCAATTCAAAGAAGAACATAATCATTGTTTATATACTCCAAGTTGTGCAAAATTTCAAAAGGATAATAGAAAAATGCATATTATGTATAAGAAGTTGATTGTTGATAATTCAAAGGTGATTTATTTTTATGTGCCAAATATTGTTTTCTTTGTTCTAAAGTTGATCTTTAATCATAGTAATTTTTTTTTCTCTTTGTTTTTGTACACAGGTAAATGTTGGTCCTGTGAGGTCTTATACAATGATGAAAGAATTAGCTGGATCACATGATAATGTTGGTGCATCTAAACAAGATTTCAAAAACTTTTATAGAGATTTGAAGGCTTATATTGCTGGATCAGATGCCCAAATGTTTGTGGATAACTTTCAAAATAAGAAATTGCTTTGGAGTGCCTTTTTTTTACTATGATGTTGATGAAGAAGATAGACTTTGTAGAGCTTTATGGGCTAATCCTATTTGTCGCAAAAATTATGCACTTTTTGGTGATATGGTATATTTTGATACAACGTTCCAAACAAACAGGTGATGTTCTAAATGTAGATTTTTTTATGTTCCTAAATTAATATCTATCATGTTTTGATGTTCTAAACATATATTACTTATGTCCTAAATTATGTATTTCTTATGTTCTAGACATATATTGCTAATGTTCTAAACATATATTGCTGATATACTAAACATAGATGCATTATGTTCTAAAATATTGGCAAGTTTAATATTTAAATTAAATTTCTATGTTCTAAAGTTTATCGTTAATGTTCTAAAGTATACATTTATGCTTCACAATTTATCTTTATGTTCTAAAGTTTATCCTTAATGTTCTAAAGTATACCTTTATGCTACACAATTTACATTTATGTTCTAAAGTTAATCCTTATGTTCTAATATTTTCTGCATATATAATTTGTGTATGTTACAGATATAATATGATCTTTGGTCCATTTACTGGAGTGGATCACCATAAGAAATGTGTTACTTTTGCGGCTTCTTTTGTAGCTCATGAAGATATATCATCTTTCGAATGGGTTTTCAAAATTTTTCTTAAATCAATGGGAAATAATGAGCCTGTGTGTTTGATTACCGATCAAGACCCTGCAATGAAAGTTGCTATTCGTAATGTTTTTCAAACTACAGAACATAGGTTTTGTATGTGGCATATTATGAAAAAGGTGCCTGAAAAAGTAGGTCGGGCAATTACCCAAGAAACTGATTTTTTGAAAAAACTTTGTGCATGTGTTTGGCATTTAGAGATTGAGCCAGAAGAATTTGAAGAAAAGTGGAACAAAGTTATTTCAGAATTTAATTTGAACGATCATGAGTGGTTGGCTCACATGTTCAACATACGTGATATGTGGATTCCAGCGTATTTCAGAGATTTATTTTTAGGTGGCATCATGAGGACCACATCTAGATCCGAAAGTGAAAATAATTTTTTCACTATGTTCACAAATCCCCATCTCACTTTGATTGAGTTTTACATGAGGTAATATGTAAATGTCTAAATATTTTCTAATTTTAATCTTTATGTTCAAAAGTTTTTCTTTAATGCTTTAATTTTTTTTTTTTTTTTTTTTTTTTAGTTTTACCATATTTTTCAAATCTCTTTTATTTTATAGTTTTAGGAAATAGCACATAATAGAAAACTTTAGAACATAAAGGGAAAATATAATAGAACATAATAGAAATCTTTAGAATATAAGGGAAAACTTTAGAACATATTAGAAATACTTTAAAACATATGGGAAAACTTTAGAACATAATAAGAATGACTTTTTTTCAAATCTCTTTAATGCTTTAAAGTTTATATATATATATATATATATATATATATATATATATATATATATATATATATATATATATATATATATTATTTTATAATTTTACCATTTTTTTCAACTCTCTTTTATTTTATAAATTTTTTCTTAAATGTTTTAAAGTTTTAGTTTAATGTTTTAATAGTATTTAGATTATGTGTATTATTTTAATATGTTCTAATGTAATTCACTTTATGTTCTAAAGTTATTTTCTATGTTCTAAAGTTAATTTTTATTTTCTATAGGTTTGAATGTGCATTGGATGCTCAAAGGCACACTCAAAATAAAATGGATAATGATTCAAAGAATAAGCGTCCAGAGTGTAAGACTCTAATTCCTTTAGAAAAAGATGCTTCTGAATTGTTTACAACAACAATTTTTTATGATTTTCAATATGAGGTTGAAATTGGATGTTTTAATTGTGGTGTTGAGGAGATGAAGAATGACAATGAGATTTACATTTTCAAATTAAGGGAAGGATCTAGGAGGAGGGCTTTTGATGTTGTTTTTGATCCAACTACCTTAGATACCAAGTGTTTTTGTAAAAAATTTGAACGTGATGGTGTGCCTTGTAGGCATATGATTTGGGTGTGGAAAGCAAGGATGTTAGAAAAAATTCCCAAGACTTACGTTCTAAATAGATGGTGTACAATGGCTTATAAGAAGCCCATTTTTTATTTAGAGGGTAATGTTTTAGAGGAATGTCTTAATGCTGTAGATAAAAAGATGCTATTAAATGATTTGTGGTGTGAAATTCATGCTTGTGTGAGTTTAGTGCAAAACAATGAAGATGATTTAAGTGATCTTGTCAAAAAACTTCGAGCCATGAGAATAGATTTGGAACAGAAGAAAACAACAAATGGAAGCAACAATTTTTGTAGCAAAGTTAAAGACATTGAAATGCTTATTGGAGCTAGTTTACCTTCTGAAGTTTTGATTAAAGCTCCAAAAATTTCAAAAAACAAAGGTACAGGGGTTCATGTTCCAAATCAGGTTAATGTTCCAAATGATACCCCTATTCCAAATGATACGCATGTTCCAAATAGTAACAAGAGAATGAAGAGTGACAGAGAAAAAGCTGTTGAACAAAGTCAAAAGAAGAAAAGATTATGTAGAGCATGTGGAGAGCTTGGTCATCATGATAGTCGTAATTGTCCAGGGAAAGTCAAGTGATATTGTAAGTAAACATTTTTTTCTTATGTTTTAATTAGTAATAAATTAAAATTATTACTAATTAGAACATAAGAAAAAATGCATCAAATATGTTTGAATTTAAATTTAATATTTTGAATTTTTAATTTAAACATGTTGTATATGTTTTAAAATGCATCAAATATGTTCTAAAATTTATAATGTGTTTATGTTCTAATTATTAATTTTTTTTTTCAGGTTGACTATGCTATTCGTACAACCGCATGGGACATTTTATTTATAGGAAATAGAACAAAAAAAAATTTTGTGTAAATTTTTTTTTATATATTTTTTTATTATTTTGAGAACATAATGACATATTATTTTTTATCCAATTATTCTCTATATTCTTATGTTTACAATTATAAAATAACATGATTTTATTATAACATAAGGAAAAAATATAATAGAACATAATAGAAAACTTTAGAACATAAGGGAAAACTTTAGAACATAATAGAAATACTTTAGAACATATGGATAGAAAATGTTAGAACATAACAGAAATTATTTAGAACATATGGTAAAACTTTAGAACATAATAGAAATACTTTAGAACATATGGGAAAACTTTTGAACATAAGGGAAAAATATAATAGAACATAATAGAAATTTTTAGAACATAATAAAAACATTAGAACATAATAGAAAACTTTAGAATATAAGGGAAAAATATAATAAAACATAATAGAAAACTTTAGAACATAAGGGAAAACTTTCGAACATAATAAAAATACTTTAAAACATATTATATAAATACTTTGAGTTTTAAACTGAATACTTTATGTTTTAAAATGCATCAAATATGTTCTAAAATTTATAATGTGTTTATGTTCTAATTATTAATTTTTTTTTCAGGTTGATTATGCTATTCGTACAACCGCATGGGACTTTTTATATTTAGGAAATAGCACATGGAAAAAATTTTGTGTAAATTTTTCTTTTATACATTTTTTTTTTATTATTTTGAGAACATAATGCATATTATTTTTTGTCCAATTATTCTCTATATTCTTATGTTTACAATTATAATATAACATGATTATATTATAAATCTTATTCTTTTATTAACATAATTTTTGGCAATATTATAATATGAGAATGGGGTTGGATGAGTATGAGATAACATAATATTTTTCAACTAATGTGAACCATTTATTTTGCGCAAATTTTGCAAGTAACAACTAAAATACTTTAAAACATTATAATAATAAATTAGAACATAATAAGAATTACTTTAGAACATATTAAGAATTACTTTATATACATTAGAACACAATCAAAATAACTTGAAATTAGGTTAATGTTCCAAATGATATTAATGTTTCAAAATATACACATGTTCAAAACAGTTATGTCCATAATCATATATTTGTACAAAAAATTACTATTATATATACTTGATATTTACACAATCAAATATCAAAATTTGTTGATCTTTGACCACTTTCTAGCCATCTTCAACACTCTTTTCCGTTCTTCATTTACTTCTGATGTTATAATCTTCCCACAATACTCCACTCATAACCTTTTCATTTGCTCAAACTGCACACAAAAAAATGACTTTAGAACATATACATGTAATTTAGAACATAATAAGAATTACATTAAAACATTGACACGTAATTAGAACCTAATCATATATGTTTTGTACTTACATTATCCTTCTCTAGTCCTGAATTCCATTGTTTTTGACATTGGCCTTCATAGGATTCCATGTGCTTCAACAGAAATACTCCACAATCATGTTTATTCTGGTTGCTTTTCCATCTCATCTCAACATTTCTTGTTTCATAAGTGGAAATAATTGCACTCTTCTTATCAATTTCTTCATAAAATTCACCAAATGCTTCCAACTAAAAAATTTAGAACATAATAGAAATACTTTAGAACATAATAGAAAATACTTTATAATCAAAAGTACTTTAAAAGATTGACATGTTCTATAAATAATTTCAAACATATATTATAATCTTTAGAATATAATAGAGAACTTTATGTCATAATTGGAATACTTTAGAACATAAGGGAAAAATTTAGAACATAAAGAAAAAATATAATAGATCATAATAGAAAACTTTAAAACATAATAGAAAATCTAAAAACATAATAAAAAAAACTTAAGAACATAAGGGAAAAATATAATAGAGCATAATAGAAAACTTTAGTTTAGAACATAATAGAAATACTTTAGATCATAACCTTTTGTCAAATCTCCTTCTTGCTCCTTTTGTCTTTCTTCTTTATTATCCTCTCGTTCTTGGTCTTGCTTCTCTTCTTGTTCTAGAAAACATAATTATAAAACACAATATTAGATTATAATTGTATCATAAGAATTTGAGTTGGAACATTAACATAAACTTTAGAACATAAAGTGCAAACTTTAGAACATATAGTGTAAACTTTAGAACATATAGCGTAAACTTTAGAACATAAGCATATACAAATATTCTATTTCCTTTTTTTTTTAGTAATTTTCCTTTTTAAAATAAGGGTAAACTTTAGAAAATAAGGGAAAAATACAATAGAGCATAGTAGAAAACTTTAGTTTAGAACATAATAGAAATACTTTAGATCATAACCTTTTGTCAAATCTCCTTCTTGCTCCTCTTGTCTTTCTCCTTCTTGCTCCTTTTGTCCTTCTCCTTCCTTCGAGTCTTGTCTTTCTTCTTTATTATCCTCTTGTTCTTGGTCTTTCTTCTCTTCTTGTTCTAGAAAACATAATTATAAAACACAATATTAGATTATAATTGTATCATAAGAATTTAAGTTGGAACATTAACATAAACTTTAGAACATAAAGTGCAAACTTTAGAACATATAGCTTAAACTTTAGAACATATAGCGTAAACTTTAGAGCATAAGCATATACAAATATTCTATTTCATTTTTTTTAGTACTTTTCCTTTTTAAAATACTTTAGAACATAAGGGAAAACTTTAGAACATAAGGGGAAAATATAATATAGCATAATAGAAAACTTTAGTTTAGAATATAATAGAAATACTTTAGATCATAACCTTTAGCCAAATCTCCTTCTTGCTCCTCTTCTCTTTCTCCTTCCATCTCCTTTTGGCTTTCTCCTTCCTTTGCCTCTTGTCTTTCTTTTTGATTATCCTCTTGTCCTTGGTCTTGCTTCTCTTCTTTATCTTGAAAACATAATTATAAAACACAACATATAATATAATTGTATCATAAGAATTTGAGTTGGAACATTAACATAAACTTTATAACATAAAGTGCAAACCATAGAACATATAGCTTAAACTTTAAAACATATAGCGTAAACTTTAGAACATAAGCATATACAAATATTCTATTTCATTTTTTTTTAGTATTTTTCCATTTTAAAATCAATTAATTAAAAGAACATTAATAAGAAATGAGTTTGAAAATAGTTGGAAATTACCAAGTATAGGTGAAGAGATAGTATCATCTATCTTTTCATTGATATTTCTCTCATCGTTGTTCTTTTCTCTTTCTCCTTCATTTGATGTCAAATCTTCATAATAATTACAAAACACAATTTTAGAACTTAACTATATCATAAAGATTTGAGTTGGAACATAAACACTTGATTTAAGAGCATAATTTAGAACATAGGTATAATTTAGAAATTAAACATGTAATTACCATGTCCCAATGACTTTGGTGACTTTTCAACATTAAATTTCTTCCATGCAATGTTCATCAACATATTCAATTCTTCTATGAATGCCGGTTCATCGAAGAATTGTTGATCTTGACTAAGTATGGAAGGACTTTTTGTCTGTTGCTTTTCTTCTTCTTGATTTACCAATGACTATATATAAGAATACATAAGTTAGAATCCAATAAGACATTTATATATGTTGAACTATTATAAATATAAAAATTACACTTTAGAACATAGTCTAAAAATAGTTTAGAACATGATTATTATACCTTTGTGGTATACTTGCACCAAATGTTGTCTATAAGATGATGCATTTTCCCCGTTGTTTATTCCTCAACAAAGATATCCTTTGCTTGTTCCAACATGTTATACATCTCTTTTACATTCGATGCAAGACTTTTTGCCAAATCTCCAAATTTGCTTAAAAAATCCTAAGAATTTAGAACATAAAATAATGAATATTTAAAATATTATAGAAATAAGTAAATAAATTAATAAAAAAAAATATTAAAACATTATACCATCATATCATTTGGAGACGTGATAGAATCACATGTCATTGATTGGTTTTCCACAACTTTCTCTTTTCCTTTGTCTTTCCCTTGCTTTTTTATTACTTTCTTCTCCCCTTGTTTTTCTCTAATTGTCAAGGGTTGCTCTTTCTTTTTGCCTTTGTCATTCTCTTGCCTTTTTTCCGATCCCTTTTTAAATTTACATTATAAATTTTAGAATACATGCATAAATATATTGTATAGAAAAATATAAAACGATAATAAACTTTAGAACATATATTACAAAATTTAGAACATATAGTATAAACTTTAGAACATAAGCATATACAAAAATCATACCACATTCAATTTCATTCTTTCTAGTACTTTTCCTTTTCCAAATCCAAGGTCTTTCTCAAACTTCAATCTTGTATGGAACCTTTCTTGGTTCCACAATGATATTAATGGAACTTGACGTGGTATCTCTAACCCCTTCCTTTGTACCCGATCAAAATAGGATACCTAAAAGAACATCATTAGAAATACTTTAGAACATTGATATGTAAAGTAGAACATAGATATATAATTTAGAACATCATTAGAACTTACCATAAGAAAGATTAAAGGACCCGTAAAGAAAGATTCTCCATCTAACCATTTTTTAGTAGTTTCCATCAAGTGCTCCTTAACAAATTTGCACCAATTCAATTTAACTATATTCTTTGTATCCTTGCAACTATACAAAAACTTAATGTATAGTTGCTTGTTATTAGTTGAACGGATGCAACTATTAACCGCACAAACCAAAAAATTCCAAATGAATTCATCCGAAACTTGTTTTTGTACTTTATCTACCTCCTTCACCTTTTGAATCCTACTAATCAATTGTGCATTTTTTGGACCACCCTATAAGTAATTTAGAACATGGATAGGTAATTTAGAATACAATAAAAAATACTTTAGAACATAAGCAAAAATACTTTAGAACATAATCAGAATAACTTTAGAACATAAGCAAAAATACTTTAGAACATAATGGAAAACTTTAGAACATAATAGAAATACTTTATAACATAATAGAAAATACTTTATAATCAAAAGTACTTTAAAAGATTGACATGTAATATAAATAATTTCAAACATAATAGAAAATCATAGAACATAATAGAAATACTTTAGAACATAAGGGAAAACTTTAGAACATAAAGAAAAAATATAATAGAACATAATAGAAAACTTTAGAACAAAATATAAAACTTTAGGAGATAATAGAAATTGTTTAGAACATAATGCAAAACTTTAGAACATAAGAGAAAAATATAATAGAACATAATGGAAAACTTTAGAACATATGGGAAAAATATAATAGAACATAATATAAAATCTTAAAACATAATCAAAAATACTTTAGAACATTATTAAAATACATTAGAACATAAGCCAAATAACAAGTTTAGAATACAAGTACACATAAAAATATTCATACCACTTTAAGGTGAAAGTTTTTTTCTCCATTTTTGCATAAAATTTGCACATTCATTCTTGTTTTCTATTGTATCAAGAATTGCTATATCTCCCATTGGCAATCCATATGTCATGTGAACATCAATTTCATCAAAGAGTATTTCTTCTTCTCTCCCCGGTAGCATCAAGCAACATCTCTTGGGATCAAAATTCGAAAGAAGTTGTTGTGTCAACCTAGATTTAAATTAAAGGTTTAGAATACAAAATACATATAGATTAGAATTTAAATAAAAATAAAAATTAACATGATAATTAAAATTTAGAACATTAATTAGAATTTTATAAGAATTAGAACATAATAGATGATAATAGAACATAATAGAAATCTTTAGAACATAAAGGAAAACTTTAGAACGTATTAGAAATACTTTAGAACATAAGGGAAAACTTTCGAACATAATAGAAATAATTTAGAACATAATGGAAAACTTTAGAACATATATCATGTGAACATATGGATAGAAAACTTTAGAACATAATAAAGATACTTTAGAACATAATAAAGATACTTTAGAACATATGGATAGAAAATGTTAGAACATAATAGAAATACTTTAGAACATAAGGGAAAAATTTAGAGCATAAATAAAAAATATAATAGAACATAATAAAAAAGTTTAGAACATAAGATAAAACTTTAGAACATAATAGAAATACTTTAGAACATATGGGAAAACTTTTAAACATAAAACAAAAAAATAATAGAACATAATAGAAAATCATAGAATTTAATAGAAATACTTTAGAACATAAGGGAAAACTTTAGATCATAAGGGAAAAATATAATAAAACATATGAGACAACTTTAGAACATAAGGGAAAACTTTAGAACAAAATAGAAATACTTTAGAACATAATGTAAACCTTTAGAACACTAGTGCTTACCAAGAATCCACATAATGTGGTGCATCCAAGTTCAAAAAAGCACCAAATCCAATTTTTTGAATAGCTTGTTTATGCTTATCAGAGAGATTTACCAACACTTGTTTCATCAATTCCTTAGCGGTAACACTTTGATAAGCCGATCTCTTACTTTTTTCCACTTTGATTATTTTCACATCCTCATCATCCTTTTCTTTTTCAATCTTTCTTTTCTTATTTTTCTGATTTTTTTTCACATCCTACTCATCATTTTCATCATCATCATCATCTTCTTCTTCCTTTTCTTTCATTTTTCTAGTTCGTTGAATCCTTGATGAAAGCTTGGCACTTTTTTTTCGTTTCTGACTTTGCACATGTTTCTCAAATTCAGCTTTGTCAATTACTTCCGCATCATTTTCAACAATTTTCCTTTAAAATCAAATATAAATGATTTAGAACATATATGATAATCTTTAGAACTTGATAGAAAACTTTATATCATAATAGTTACTCTTAGAACATAATAGAAATACTTTAGAACATAAGGGAAAAATATAATAGTACATAATAGAAAATTTTATATCATAATAGAAATATTTTAGAACATAATAGAATAACATAATAAAAATACTTTAGAACATAAGGGAAAAATATAATAGAATATAATTGAAAACTTTAGAACATAAGAGAAAACTTTAGAACATAAGGGGAAAATGTAATAGAACATAATAGAAAACTTTTGAACATAAGGAAAACTTTAGAACATAATAGAAAACTTTAGAACAAGGAAAAACTTTACAACATAATAGAAATATTTTAGAACATATGGATAGAAAATATTAGAACATAATAGAAATACTTTAGAACATAAGGGAAAACTTTAGAACATAAGTAAAAAATATAATAAAACATAATAGAAAACTTTAGAACATATGGGAAAACTTTAGAACATAATAGAAATAATTTAGAACATAGTAGAAAACTTTAGATCATTATAAAAATACTTTAGAACATAATAAAAAATTACAGAACATAATAAAAATACTTTAAAACATAAGAGAAAACTTTAGAATATAAGGGAAAAATACTTTAGAACATAAGGGAAAACTTTAATTACCTTTTTCTTCCATAAGTAATTTTTTCATCCGGTATAATAGTAATTTCTTCTTCTTTATTTTGGCTTTCCATTTTGCTGAAATTTTATAAAATAAAAAACATTAGTAACATTCCTACATTAGTAATATATTTTAAACATAAGAATAGTTTAGAACATGCTGAAAATAGTTTCTCACTATGCATGTACACATTCAAACAATAAAAATCATTTGTATAAATAATCATATCCAGTTAAAAGCATGCTTCATTTAAGTTTACCTAGATTACAATTGTTGTAATGAAGAAGAGAGAATCTCAAACAAGAACATCTCATGAAATTAGCGTTGTATGTCTATACCCAGTGTTCCAAACAGTGTAACTAAGCAATAGTGTATTGACATTTTAGAGATATTAGCAATATTCAGTTGAGCTTGTGTTAATATTATATAAACAATTAATTAGAAAGTATTATGAAATGGAGTACTATTTTGCAAGAGACTAAACCAAATTCTCTTGGCTATAGGGTATCATGTCAAATCAAAGAATCATTCTCTTGGCTATACTCAACTATAACCACTGCTTAACCCAGCATCACTCTTACTCTGGAAAACATTTATTAAAACAATCCATTCAAAGGTACATACACACAATCACTGCCTCTTAGAATAAGCAGTCACTAACTCCTCCACCAACATGTACCAATGAAGAACTGACCAACTCGAAAAACCCAGTTCCCACACAATAAATCATCACCACTGATGTTACAACACAGCAAAGAATGGCATATAACATCTCACTTAGCTATGAAAAATGACGCAATTTCTAAGATCATTTCTTCAAAGCACCTCCAAACAGTAGCCACCCTACCCATGTATAAATTTCAAAAAAAATAATAATAAAACTCAAATTGCAACCAAATAGCAAGTCAAGTTCATGGTATATGCAAATTCGAAACCACACAACGAGTTCGATAGGACATGAATTACAAACCACTAGGATCATACTTACTCAACAATAAAAGTTCAGTAACAAGTAATAACCAGTGCGTTCAAACTATAAACCTATAGGCGGCTGGTGTCCAACACGAGTACCAGAGTCTGGGTAACATAGCCTAAGGCGGCATTACTATAGTAGCAGCTTAATCTTAAATTATGGAATTCAGTCAGCAATAACTCAATCATCCAACTAGCATTATAAATAAACCTCACTATTAATTTCATACACGCAAATCCGTGTAAATAGATAATCAAAAGCTACCTTTTCATGGATTGCATAATTACTTCAAAACTAAATGATCACAAAGAAACATGAGTAAATTATACGGAGTATTATAACAAAGAACACACAGTTTAAACCCAAGAAAACATCCAATTTTATTTATTAGTACCAACTTCGAAAGCTGATTACATTCCACGCTACTGTCATCCATGGATGCGAGAGAGGCGGCAGCGGCGGAAAGCTTTGAAGAGAGAGAAAACCACCGGCGACGCCTCGTAATGGCCGTTGGATTTCGAGGTTTGTGGACCCCGCTAAACACTCAACGGGCCTTCAGATCGAGGCTGCTACAGATTATCTGAAGCAGAAGCCTTGGTGGGAGAAGCATGATCCTTTGAGGCCTCTGCTACCCGAAGAAGTGCTCGCTGCTCAAGCTGCTGCGGAAGTGACCAGAGGCATCAATTCCCTAGAAAGGGGTGAAGAGACTTCTGGTGCTGCCGAGGCTCATCCGAGGACTTTGGTAAGGCCTTCAGCAACTTGCTTTTTCTTCCTTTTTCTTCTTTTTGTTGTTGTTGTTTTTTTATATTTTATTTTTTTATACTGATCCTTCCTTGTTCCCCCACTTCTACAGTCTGAGGAAGAAGGCAGAAGGAGGGAAGGGAAGGCTCCCCAGTCGTAAGACGACCTTTCAGAACTCGACTCTTCAGATTCTAACGACATGGACGACCAACCTCTTGAACAGAGGAAGAGAAGAAGGACGGGCCCAGCTGTTGTGGGTCTAGGAGATTTCACGCTGAGGCCAATGCCTGGCGTTGTCATAAGGGAACCTGCTGCTGGCCGAGGCAGGGTTCCAAGGGGTACAGGGGGTCCTCCGCCCCCGACTTAGCCACCACCGCCAATTCCATCACCGCCGAGGACCCCTCCACCACCTCCTCCTACTGCTGACATGGAGGTGGACCAACGGACTCCTGATCTAAAGGAGGGGGTTCCCGAAGCGGTTTCCAACAAGGGGAGTGCTGCTGAGCTCCCTGAGGTTGGGGTTGCTGAAGTAGCCGAAGAGGCGGCTACTGCTGAAGACGAGGCCCCTAGGGGCTTCACTGCTGAGATCCAGCGGGAGGTTGACGCCTTGACAAGTCAACCTCACGGGGAGGCTGAAGGGGTCCTGACTGGAGGGGACCATGCTGAAGGAGGGGCGACGACTGAGCCCAAAAAAATGGATGAGGTCCCATCAACTTCGCTCCTCTCTTTCAAGTCTTTCCAGTCTGGGGACATGGGGTTTTCAGCCAAGAAGTGCTCTATCCCAGCTGGCGTTAGGGCCGAAATCTGGGGGAAGTACAAGGAAAGCGCCGAGGCTTATTTCGGCGGTTGCTTCGAATTATCAAAAATGGAGCAAGTCCGAGAGTGATCTGTTCGGGAAACCGCCGAGATTGCTGAACCCGGTCCCTCAGTACCAGATCCTGCCCGAGACAACCAGAGACTGCTAATGCGGGTATGTAATAAGATTCTGCACCTTCAGCAATTTCGATTTACTTGTGAATTTATTTAACTTAAATTTAATCCCAGCTCCGCAGGTTGTCTACAATCATACCATGACCTTTGAGATGATTGACACACTTCAGGAGAGGGTAGACATCGTTGAGACAGAGGCAAAGCTTGCCCAGCTGAAGCAGGAGAAAGCCGAGGATAGGGCTAGGGTCGTGATCGACTCCTTCAACACTTTCTGTGCTAAAATGGAGAAAGATGTCTTGCCTCAAGCAGACGAGGGTGAGGCCCTGCTCAAAGCTTTCGGCGCGGTTGACGTCCCTAGCCTCAAAGCCAAGATCCAGCACAAAATCGACACTGAGGTTCAATCCCAAGTGCTGGCCCGAGAAGAAATATCTCGGCAGAAGATCAAGATCTTGGAGGCTGATGCCAATCAACACCGCCAAGCCTGCAAAAGGAGGGAAAAAGATATGGTCGAGGCCGGGGTCCAGCTAGAGTCTCAGCGGCAGAGCATCAGCAGCCTGGAGGTTCAACTGAAGAACCAAGAGGAACAACTCTCTCAGGCCCGAGACAAGGCCGAGCAGACTGAGCAGCGGCTTGCTGATGCCGAGGCTCAGTTGAAGGAACAGCGGGAGTCCTCCCAGAAAGCCTTGGACGAGGTACAGAAGAAGCTAGCCGATGCTGAGGCTCAGCTAGCCCTTAGGGTTTATACCCAGGCTGAGTACTCCACTGCCTACCTCAATGGCTATAGGGTGGCTCGGAGGCTGGCTCTCCATGCTGCACCTGACCTGGATTGGTATCAATGTGAAATCTGGGCTGAAGACCCCAAGAATCCTCACATGCAGCAGGCTAGCCAGGCTGAGGTAGATCTGCTAGCCCGCCTCCTGGCCGAGGATGCTGCGGCCAAGGAGGCTGAGATGAAGGAGGCTGAAGTCCAAGCTCCAGTTCAACCCGCCTCTTCTGCAGCTGAGGTTGATGCCGCGCTGGACTCCAACCTTGCTGGGAGGCCTGACCCTTCAGCTGAAGCCTAGGGACTCGGGCAGTCGTCTTTAGAATCTTGCGGATCAACGTGATCTTAAAATGATAGATGCCGCTTCTGAATGTTTTTTGCCTTTGTTTTTGCTTCAACTTGCCTCAGTGTACAAACTATTTATTTTTTTGCCTTATACACATTTCAGCAGCTGTTATTTTCCGCTTGTGGGCGGCTGCCGATATTATCTTTCACTTTACTTGAAACACTTATGTTTGTAGCTCGTAATCCAAGCATGATTTCCTGTATATGAATTTGATATTTTCCTCTTATTGCCTTGCTTTGAACTTGCATGCTTGAATTTTCCTCTTATTATCTTTCACTTTACTTAAAACACTTATGTTTATGATTTTTTTTTTTCTAAGTACAAAGCTTCGGCTTAGAGGTCTCAGCTGAGGCAGTCTGCACTTATTGTATTTCTTGCCCCCCCCCAGAGATTTGAAGACTTGATCTTCTGATTTCTGAGACCAATTCTCTTTTCCTTGCTTATTTCCTATCAGTTTATGCTTTTGCTCTTGATTTTCTGTCTATCTAAAAATGGATATCTCAAACACAGGGAATAAAGAAAAAATGGAAGAGTAAAGATTGCAAATGTTTGTAGAAAATAGTGGCTCGGAGGCCTTTCATTAATAATTCAAAAATGTACTTACAAGGATTGTTCTGCCCCGAAGGGTTTACACATGAAAGTTTTTAAGTACATCAGCATTCCAGTGGTTTTTCAGCTCAGTTCCATCCAACTGCCGAAGTCGGTATGTTCCCGGCTGAAGCTCATCATAGATTTCATAGGGTCCCTCCCAAGCAGCTGAGAGCTTCCCATGAATTCGGCTTTTCTGTACCGCAGCAGCATTCCGAAGGACGAGGTCTCCAATTTTGAGAGGCCTTGCCTGAACTCTTCGGTTGTAAAATTTGCCGATTCTCTGCTTGTACGCAGCCATTCTGACTCGGGCCGAGTCTCTTACTTCGTCAAGGAAATCGAGAGATTCCTTCATAAGTTGCTCATTCTCGGCCGAGAAGTGGTGCACTCGCAGGCTTTCAGTGCCAATTTCCACAGGGAGAACAACTTCGGCGCCGTACACCAATTCGAAGGGTGAATGGCCCGTTGCTTCTTTTTCGGTTGTCCGAAGGACTAGAGAGTTCCTAGGAGCTCCTCCAGCCACTTGGACTTTTGATCCTCCACCCTCTTTTTGAGGGCATTCAGAATCTGTTTATTTGCAGCTTCGGCTTGTCCGTTACTTTGCGGGTGGCATACCGCTGAATATGTCAGTTTGATGCCGAACTGATCTGTATACCGCTTCAGCGACAGATTATCAAATTGCCTTCCATGATCAAAGACAAACACTTTCGGGATGCCGAAACGAGTGATGATATTCTGCCAGATAAATTTCCTGACAGTTTGCTCCCACTAGTAGAAAAAGGCTTATTTGCGTCGCTCATTTATAGTGTATTTACGTCGCTTCTATGAGCGACGCAACTGCTCGCGACGCAAATGACTTTTGAGTCATTTGCGTCGCTCCTAGGCGCGACGCAAATAAGAGTCATTTGCGTCGCTCCTTTATAAAGGAGCGACGCAAATGACTTTTTTGATAAACTTATTTTTTGTCACTTGCGTCGCTCCTTTATAAATAAGCGACGCAAATGACTTTTCTGATTAACTTATTTTTTGTTATTTGCGTCACTCTTTTATAAAGGAGCAACGCAAATAACTCTTAAGATAAACTTATTTTTTGTTATTTGCGTCACTCCTTTATAAAAGAGCGACGCAAATGACTGATCTGATAAACTTATTTTTAGTCATTTGCGTCGCTCCTTTATAAACAAGCGACGCAAATGACTCTTCAGATAAACTTTTTTTGTTATTTGCGTCGCTCCTTTATAAACAAGCGACGCAAATGACTCTTCCAATTAACTTATTTTTTGTTATTTGCATCACTTGTTTATATAGGAGTGACGCAAATGACTGAGTAGACAATACAAAACTGTTGTATTTGCGTCACTTGTTTGTTTAATGAGTGACACAAATGAGGTGAATTTTTTTTTTTTTAATTATAATATAATAATTGCCTTGTATATGTTTATAGTACCTGTTTTCCTAGGTATAAAGTAATATGATAACGCTAATATAATTGAAATTAAAATGCAATATTATTGAATAATGCAAATGTAAATTTCGGCAGAGTCTCCTTTGTAATTTGGCCTACCCATAAAATTGGGAATGACGACATTATATTAACAACCTGTCCAATAATTTACATCTCAATATCATAGACATTATACTCACCATCCCAACACCAATTAACCAAATTACTTCATTTCAAGCCTATAATCCAAAACAAGAGTCAAACATGTGCTAAGTGGTAAATCTAAAGTTCAACATTACATATAAAATACTCTGCCCAAATATCTCAGATCTCATTTATCTCCTCCTCGGTGTACGGTGTAGTTCTTGAAAAATCCTATAAACACAACAAATATACAAGAGGAAAGTTTTAATTCAAGATTGTAGCTAACATCAAATTGTATTTATCAAACAAAAATGAAATATTTATCAAGCGTGTGTGCTCGTGATCCTAAATCTCATAGAACAAGAGCAAGCACGAGAGAAATAGAGTTCAGGACATTACTGAAAGTGCCTAAGTAGAGGTACTTGTTCTCATAAACGCGCCCAATTCGTGCTACCCATCGCCCATTATGATGATGCCTACAAAAAAATTAAATGATAAAAAATAATTTTAATAAGACATTCAAAGAATCATATAGATGTCACATGACCCATAAAATTAAAGAAAAAACAATGAATGTTCAAAGATGCAAACAAGCAACCAGTAGTATATTGCAAAACAGCAACTGTAAAAATCTACAGACTAGATGTACTAGCTGAAAACATGCAGGTGAATATATTAAACCAGCAGAATTGAGATGAGCCTCAATGAAAATTCAATGACTGAAATTATAAAAATTCAGTCATTTAAGATTCCTGTGTTTTGTGTGCTTGCAACTTGCAAATCCAGCCAGCTTATCTTTTAAGATTCCTAATAATTAGATGGACTAAAATGGATGATGATACTCCAATATCACGTACCCAACACCTTTTCCTCTTTTCACTTTATAGTTCCTAGTCTTTTATAAAGTAATGGAGAAAATATAAAGCTAACCATTTATCCACGCTTAGAGCCACTGTTTTATCAACCCAACATAGCACACTTTTTACAAGCATCAGTTCTGAAACTGAAATTTGTGGCATACTTGGTAGTATATAAAACTCTGCCCCTTCAAATACCCACCAGTTAAAATAATTAAACCCATAATTAACAACCAAGTTTTGATTAATTTTCCTACACTACTATCACATGCAACATCTACATGCATGATTATTTCTAGTATTCTGTAAATTGAATTTTGTAACTGAAAATTATTTCACTTGTTTGGGTGTTTAACAGGCTATATGCTCAAATTGCAGTAACGGAGTTATAGTAATTAAATTATCCTACCATATGTAAAGACGGCAAAAGCGGAATTCTGGGTACACCCATCCATAATTATTCCAAGAAAGTTCTCTTGGGCAATTTATCAGTCAATTTAAGTACATACATTTCCAATTTTCAATGCAATTAGCCAAGAATTATTATGTGTATTCCATTATCAGATGACCTAGTAATTGTGTTCTTAATTATTATTATGTGTATTATAATTATTATTATGACTGAAATTATAAAAATTCAATTAAATCTGCCATATAATTTCTAATTAGTGAACTAACACTAAACTTGAAATTAAACTAAGTCATTGTTCAAGTTAAATGCTACATTCTATCTACCATCAAAAGATTGAACATAAATAGAAGCAATCTTACCATAGGTGAACTTGATTTCAAAAATTCAACAATGTCGAGCCGAAATCGATTTTTGGGGACGAAATTAAGCGATTTTTCCACTCAAAAATTCAAAAATTCAACATTGCTGTAATTTGCTTGAACTTCCTCGGGTTTTTGGGGGCGAAAATTCAACGAATTTTCCACTCGAAAATTTCAGTTATTGCTCGAATTTTTCAGCAGGATTTTTAATTGAATTTTTTGGGGTTTCTAGGGTTCGAATTCGTATGGAATTGAGTACATTTTTTGCTCGAAATGGGGGATTTTTGGTCGAAAATAATCAATTTTTCTGGGGTTTAAGGATTCTAATTAATTAGGGTTTTTGGTCTAAATTTTTGCTCGAAATTGCTCGGATTTGCTGCCGATTATGGGTGTTGAACTTGATTGCGATTTTGGATGTTGAATTTGCTGGGGAATTGCAGTTTTTTGGGCGAATTTGTGGGTGTTTTTTGGGCGAATTTGTTGGATTGAAGGGTCGATTTTGGATGTTGAATTTGTTGCAATTTTTTTTTTCTTTATGTTTAGTGAATTAGTGAAAGGTAGGCGTGAAAAGCTAAGGTAAAAAAGAATAACCTAAAGTGCAACAGAGTTATTTGCGTCACTTTATAATAAAAATGCGACGCAAATAACAAAATCTGAAATGCTGAAAATTTGTTATTTGCGTCGCTCATTTATTAAAGGAGTGACGCAATTTATTCACTGCCTTATTTGCGTCGCTTGTCAGTAAATGAGTGACGCAAATAAGTTTATTATTTGCGTCGCTTCAATAAATAGGAGCGACGCAAATGATAGAAAGCTAACATAAACTTGTTTTTTGCGTCGCTTCTTTAATAACAAGCGACGCAAATAACTTTAAAGGAGGGTAAAAATACACATTTGCTTCGTTCTTTAGAATGAGTGACGCAAATATGGCGACGCAAATGAGCCTTTTTCTACTAGTGTCCGTAATGTTCGAGGCTGCTTCGGCCTCAATCCATTTAGTGAAATAGTCGACACCGACTATTAGCCACTTTTTCTGATATGCGGCATCTGGAAATGGGCCTAGGATATCCAACCCCCATTGAGCAAATGGAAGCGGACTCAGCACGGGCTGAAGCTCTTGGGCTAGCTGATGGATGACTGGTGCGAATTTTTGACATTTTTCGCATTTTCTGACCAGCTCCTTGGCATCTGAGATCATGGTGGGCCAATAGTACCCTGCCCTTAATGCTTTGTGGGCTAGGCTCCTTCCCCCAATGTGGTTCCCACATATGCCGAGGTGGATTTCCCGAAGGATATAATCTGCATCTGTCAGCCCCACGCATTTCAGCAACGGGGCTGAGAAGGATTTCTTCAGCAGTTCCCCCTTGAAGACAATGAACCTTGATCCGGTTCGCTTCAACTTGGAGGCCAGAATTTTGTCTTCGGGAATTTCTCCCCGAAGCTTGAAAGCTAGGATGAGATCCATCCAGCTTGGTTCCTGGTCGACGCAGCACATTTCAGGTGCTGCGTCGACACTTCTTTCTCGGCGCACCTCCACATAAACAGATTGGTTCAGCTCAGTGAGAGTTGAACTAGCAAGTTTGGAGAGTGCATCGGCTTTTGCATTCTGACCCCTTGGGATCAGCTGAACTTCAAAAGTTCTCAGCTTTGCGATAACTGATTTGATCTTGGCAAGGTATGATATCGTCGAGGGCTCTTTGGCCTCGTACCTGCCACCAATCTGATATGCAACTAGCTGAGAGTCTGTTTTCTGACAAACATGTTCGGCTTCCAGCGAGATGCACAATTCTAGGCCGGCAATGGCCGCCTCATATTCGGCTTCGTTGTTCGAAGCCTTGAAGGAAAATTTTAGTGCATACTCAAAGGACTTGCCTTCAGGAGAGGTTATAACCACCCCTGCCTCCGAACCATTCATGGTGGAGGATCCATCCGTGAAAACGGTCCAGGTTTTCTTTTCATCGTCTAGCGTCTCCTGGTACGAGCATTCGGCTAGGAAGTCCGCCAGAGATTGAGCCTTTATGGCTGCTCTCGGCTGGTAGCTGATGCTGAACTCTGTGAGCTTAAAAGCCCATTTGGCCAGCCTACCAGATTTTTTCAACTTTACCGAGAACTTTTTCCAGCAGCTGATCAGTCAAGACCACTATATGATGACAATAAAAATAGGGTCTCAACTTCCGAGCGGCTACCACCACTGCATAAGCAACTTTTTCGAGTAAGGGGTAGCGGGTCTCGGCGTCTGTCAGAGTGTGGCTGACGAAGTAGATCGGTTGCCGTGTTTTATTTTCTTCCCTCAACAGCACTGCACTGATGGGGGCTGGGCTGACAGCCACGTACAAGTACAGGGACTCTCCCTCTACTGGGCTAGCCAGTGTTGGAAGTTGAGCTAGATGCTCCCAAAGCTGCTTGAAGGCTTCTCTTTGCTCGTCCTCCCAGACGAGCTCTTTTGTTTTCGAGAGTTTCAGGGCTTTGAAGAAAGGTAACCCCTTATCCGAGGCCCTGGAGATGAACCTCGAGAGGGCTTCCATTCTTCCGGTGAGCCGCTGAACATCCCTTTTTATTTTTGACTCAAGGAGGTCGAGCGCTGCCTGCACCTTAGCGGGATTGGCGTCAATCCCTCTTTTGCTGACCATGAACCCAAGGAATTTCCCTGACTTCATGCCGAAGACACACTTCTTCGGATTCAACTTCATCTGATGCTTTCTTAGTGTGGCGAAAGTTTTCGCCGGGTCCCTAACATGTTCTTCATCTTTTTTGCTTTTGACGATTGAATCGTCAACGTAGACTTCCATGTTTCGTCCCTTTTGCTCAGCGAAAAGTTGGTCCACCAGCCTTTGATATGTTGCCCCCGCATTTTTCAATCCGAAGGGCATCATTCTGTAATTGTACATCCCGGCGTTCGTGACGAATGCCGTCTTTGCTTGGTCGTAGGGGTGCATGAAGATCTGATGATACCCTGAAAATGCGTCCATGAAACTAAGCAAGGCATGGCCACTTGTCGAGTCGACTAGCTGATCGATCCTCGGCAAGGGATAGAAATCCTTCAGACATGCCTTATTTAGGTCCGTGAAGTCAACGCACATTCTCCAGGTGCCATTTGCCTTCTGAACCATCACCACATTGGCCAGCCATTATGGATACTGGCAGGGTTCGATGAATCCTGCATCCAACAATTTTTTGACCTCGACTGCGATGTCTCGGTTCTTATTTGCGGAGTAATTCCGCTTCTTTTGCTTAACTGGTCGGCACGTTGGGTCGACGTTAAGCTTATGAGATATGAGGTCTGGGCTTATCCCGGGCATGTTAGCTGCCGAGAAAGCAAACACATCTCGGTTGTCCCGAAGGAGTTGGATGAGTTCAACGCGGACTTTCGGATCAAGATCCAGCCCGATTATAACGCATTTTTTGGCGTCTCCTTCGGTAAACTCGACCGTTTCGGTCTGCTGGCCCAGCTCCATTGGCGTGGGGCTGGACTCTTCGTTTTCTGGCCTGCTGTCTTGTCAGCAGGGGTCCCAGATTTTTTCTTCTTCAGCTGGCTCTCTGAGTCTTTCGGCTCAGATGACGAGCTAGCCTTTTCTTTTCCTGGCCCTTTTTCTTTGGCCAGGTCTTCTTAGGCCGAAGCACTTAGGCCTTTCAGCTTCTTCGCGCTCGGCTGCCTGTCTTTCTCTTCCTCATCCTCGTCATCCTCCTTTGTACGACTAGTGGATGGCTTGAGGTAGTTGCACCTTCGGGCCTCCTTTTGACTGCCCTCGATCCTTTCGGGGTAGGCGGCATCCGAGACATAGATCATCAGCTGATGGTACGTCGAGACTACCCCTTGGATCTCGTGAATAATGGGTCTCCCCATGATCACGTTGTACATAGAAGGAGCGTCGATGACCAAGAATTCGGTCATGACGTTCCTGGCTGCCTCATCACAGCCGATGGTGACAGGAAGTGTTACCTTCCCGTCTGGATAAGTTGAAGCCCCATTAAATCCGGATACCGGGTAGGGTACCTGTAGGGAATATTTTCAAGCCTTTAAAATCCCACTAGCTTGAACCCCACTGTGATCATACACTAAAGTACGGTGGCGTCCAAAAGGGAAGAAGATAGAGCAAAAGAGTCGCCAACAAGTTTTTTTAGGAACATGTAAATCATTCACGAGGTGAAGGTTACACCCCTAAACGATCTAAGAGATCGTCAACTCCATAAGGTCATGAACCAAATAAGGGTTCGGGGATGAAGGTACAAATCCAACCTAAAAGAGATTGAACATGCCCTAATAATAGGCCTCTACTTTATTCTGATCGTATTCATAAGCGCTTTCTAATTAACATGCAATAATTAGGATTACCCCTAAACCTGTTTAATCTATGTTGGTTGAATATTAATGCACAAATAAACTATTATTGGCGATCACTTGAATTATAACCACAATTAACCCTAACAAGATTATTAATTATCTCATTAAGCGTGATTACAAGTACCAATTCCCTTTAAACATGCATAAAAGGCGTGATCAAGCAATAACAATAAATGTCAAGCAACATAATAAATAATCAATCATGAATAATAATTATAATAATCATAATACCATCATAAATAAAATAATCAAAATAATAATATCATCATAAATCAAAACAATTATAATCATAATCATGTTCATGTTAATATTAAAGCATAATAATAATAGCAAGATCCTAGGCATGATACTAACAAGATTAATAACAAACCCTAGCATGTCACTAAGCAATAAAAATCAAGTCTTTAGCCCTAACATGATACTAGCAATCATAAATATTAGGAAAAATATAGGAAGCATCGTAACAATCATATTTAATATTAAAATTACCCTAGACATGATACTAGGAATATCATAATAACAATGTAAACATGATTTCTACATCATAACATCAATCAAAACATTAAAGTACTTACTTTGATGCCTCGTACCTCTTTCTAATTACAAAATACACACGTTAGTAACTTCAAGGAAAATAATAAAACAAAACAATTAAATTAAATAATTGAAAGAGAGATTTGGGACCAAACCCTCAGAAATTAAAACCTTTCACGTCTAGGGCGAAGGCAACTTCAAATATGGCTAGGTGTATCTAAGACTTGCGAATGCGGAATTTTGTATTTGAAAACAAAGTTTAGAAAAGAGAAAGAGAGAGGGAATAATCAAGAAAATCTTGATGAGAGTTGGTGAATGAAAACGGAGTTTTAATACGTTATTTATAGAGAAAATCAGCCAAAAAGATAAAATTAACAAAACAGAGTCTGGCGCACGTATTGGCCATTGGCGCCAGACGCCAATGGATAGCGCTAGGCGCCAATGGCTGGCGCCAGGCCTGGTTCCAGGCGCCAATGCCTGAAGTCAGGCGCCAGGCCCGTTTTTAACGCGTTTTTTTTTTATCATATATTTTGATCCGAAAGTCCAAATCAGGCATATAATATGTCGTTGGAAAGCTCTTAAAGTCTAATTTCCAACCCAATTAGAATCAGATTAAAATATTTTGTATATAAAAGATATGGCCAAAATAGTGGAAGGGTATCAGTTTTGGATAAAGTTTCATGTCTCATTCATATCTTTTTCGTTAACTCGGATTTAATATTAAAATATATCATTGGAAAGATAATTTAAAGATCTATCCAACCATATAAAATTTGGATAAATATTATGAGGTACGAAAAT